GCATCATAAAGTTGGGTTATGGTGCAAGGGTGTTCCAGGGAGCTGATTCAGAAGTCTGAAGTGAGGGGTTGTGCGGTCCAGGAATGTGAGTATGTCGCATTCACGGGCTCCGGTCATGGCAACAAAAGGCTTCATGGCGAACTGTGATCTCTTGTTCCTACAAGTGCCCCTCAAACCCTAGACCCTAACAACTAGACCCTAGAGCAAGCCAGTATGGGTTAGTTTGGATGATTGGTGGTGAATCCCCTGACAGGCCCCAAACCACCCCTCAGCCGAATCGGCATTCCAACTAACCGAATGGGCAGAAGGAAAAGAGGGCACAAAAAAAACAACTACCCCTTAAACCCTAAACCCCTTAAACCCTAAACCCTAAACCCCTTAAGCCCTAAACCCCTTAAACCCTAAACCCTAAACCCCTTAAACCCTAGACCCTAACAACTAAACCCTAAAGCAAACCAGTCTCAGACCACAGCCGGGTCCTTGCCCCTTCTCCGCAGATCCCTGGAAGAGATCAAAGCGGCGGTTTTCCGAGACCCAGAGGTCGCTCGGAGCTGGTTTCGATATATATATATATACACACACATATATAAATATTATATATATATATAAACATTATACTATATATATATATATATATAGTAAACCCCAAAAACTTGGAAACGAGATTAAGGACAAATAGTGCTGGGAGTCCTTATACATTACTTTTAGGGACTGAGGCTATTGGGTTTCCAACTTTTGGGCTTCTACTGTAAGGAGGCAGGGTGGCGGGTTTGGGTTTCTACAGCTTCGGGCTCTGAGCTCTTGTTGGGCAACGGGCTGGCATGTGGGAGTTTCCGAAAATTAGAGGTACCTTATTTTGGTGTCCTTTTAATAAGGATCCTCCTATTTAGGGTACTATATTAGGGTCCCCTATTTAATTTTCGGAAACTTCCATGTAGGGATGTTCGAGGCACCGCCGGACATCGAAGTTACAGTCCCGGCCGTTGTGATGACTCGGATAGCATGCAGAGGGGCGACGTAGTGGTAGTCATGATTACTACCATTTTCATTTTCTGTGGTGGTGGTAGTAGTAGCGGCAGCAGGAGTAGTAGCAGTAGTAGTAGCAGCAGTGGTGGTGGCAGTATCAATAGTAAGTAGCGGTAGTAGGAGTAGTAGGAGTAATTATTATTACTATTATTACTATTATTATTATTGTTATTATTATTAGTAGTAGTAGTAGTGGTAGTGGTAGTGGTAGTGGTAGTGGTAGTGGTAGTGGTAGTGGTAGTGGTAGTGGTAGTGGCAGCAGCAGCAGCAGCAGCAGAAGTAGCACTAGCATTAGTTGGGATAGTCAACAGTGGTGCTAGATGGTTGTAGTAGAAGACTAGTAGAAGTCTTCGTCGTGGCAGTAGTAGCGGTCGTTGTCGCGGTTGCAAGTTCCTCAACATGAAGCCAGAGCCCAAGTTAGTCAGAGAAAACAACAGCAGCAGCAAGAACTTCTGCAACACAATCATAATAACAACCGTCATCATCGCAATACCGTTCGTAAGCATCCGCCTCATGGCGTTTCTCATCCCCATGATCCTTACCATCTCAACTCCACCCAACCCCCACCCGTCACCACCTAGCAGGTGCTTGGAACGGCGCTTGATATCGTAGGGGCTTACCTCAAGAATTATGAGGCTGGGCAGTTGATCACTCTGGGTTGCGACTGAACTAGAGCTGCTTGCTCGCGCGCCTACGAGAAGTAATAGAAGTAGGTTTCTGGCATACCCTGCAGGCGTTCGTTATTGCTGTGGTACTTATAGATGATGCTGTATTGTCATTCCTGACTTCATTGCTTTAGTAGTTTAGGCTCAGGTTCTTGAGCCTTCAGGTTTCCAGTTGAAAGCCTCAAACACATCGGTCTGTAGATGCGAAGTAGGGTGGTAACATGCGGGTAACCCTAAACCCTGAGCCCGGCCTAAGCCCTATCATCCTAAAGCCATATGCCCTGAAACAAAAGCAAGCGTGCTCAGAACCATGAAGCAAAGGTCTCGAAGGCTGCCAGGCTCAAGCCTACTATGCCATAATGCAAGGGATTGTTCAGGAAATTCTCTAAATTTAGGATGTTGTTTTTTAGCCAAAAGGGTGCGCAACCATGCTGGGCGAAGACGGGGCAAGAATTCAGAGAACTACCCAACTAATTTTCTGCTTTAATGCATCCAAGAGGAGCTCATCACCAGGGGGCTTTCGGGTTTAATTAAGCTTGCTCTATAAGGGTTAGGGCTACCGGTTTGGGAGTTCTAGGGCTCCTGTATGTGGGTAGTTGTCAAAATTATGGCCCCTTTTTGGGTACCCTAAATATTAGGTGCCGTATTATAACAAGGACCCCAAAGGGGACTATAATTTTGACAACCACCCATGCGAGGGTTTGGTGTTTATGGGAGTGTTAGGGTTCATTCAAAAGGACACTACAAGAGCTCCTATAGCTTCTGAGGGCTGGTCGGGCTTGGTTGCAGAGTTGACTACGTATTCACGAGCAGCTATCATCCGAAACCCTTCAGATTCTGTATTTATATGCCTGCATTAGTATGTATTCATGTATCTGCCTATCGATCTATCTGTATATGTAGGGGCCTCACACCTCGCAATCCTGCTGAGGCAGGACATGAGCTGACAGAGTTTAGGGTGTAGGGTTTCGGCTTGGGGATCCGGAGGTTTCCAGGCATACATCCCGGGCTCGCTTGCTGTGCAGACATACAGCAATCCATGGATGCCTGCTTCAGACATGAGGGTTTCTGCACGTATTCGAAAAGCATGCTTCCCGAACAGCCGGGTGTAATTTGGCAGACAGGCCTAAAGCTCCAAAGCCTGAAGTGATTTCCTGGCAACAAGCCGTTGCTGCAGGCTCAGCCGATCTTATTTCAGTAACACAGCCTTTCAGTACTAAGTTCCAAAACTGATGCTACTGGTGCAGCTGACTACCCCAAACTCCTGCTCTTACTAAGGCACTAAGTCCTACTTTACTTACTGTTACTACTACTGCTACTACTACTACTACTACTACTACTACTACTGCTACTACTGCTACTACTACTACTACTACTACTACTAGGGCTCGAGTCGCCCATTGAGGAATCTCGGTAGCCCCAGTACCGCATGCCATGGCCGCGTAGCGGAAGGCGGTACGTCATGAGCCTGGAGAGCAGCCAACTACCCAGCAACCTGCGGAGTTTGACGTTTGGCTATGCGTTCTACCGGAGCATAGAGAGCAGCCAACTACCCAGCAACGTGCGGAGTTTGACGTCTGGCTATGCGTTTAACCGGAGCCTGGAGAGCAGCCAACTGCCCAGCAACCTGCGGAGTTTGACGTTTGGCTATGCGTTCTATCGGAGCATAGAGAGCAGCCAACTACCCAGCAACGTGCGGAGTTTGACGTCTGGCTATGCGTTTAACCGGAGCCTGGAGAGCAGCCAACTGCCCAGCAACCTGCGGAGTTTGACGTTTGGCTATGCGTTCTATCGGAGCATGGAGAGGAGCCAACTACCCAGCAACCTGCGGTGTTTGACGTCTGGCTTTGCGTTTAACCGGTGCCTGGAGAGCAGCCAACTACCCAGCAACCTGGGAAGTTTGACGTCTGGCTATGCGTTCAACCAGAGCCTGGAGAGCAGCCAACTACGCAGCAGCCTGCGGAGTTTGACGTTTGGCTATGCGTTCAACCGGAGCGGCCTGCGGAGTTTGACGTCCGGCTACGCGTTCTACCGGAGCCTGGAGAGCAGCCAGCTACGCAGCAGCCTTCTGAGTTTGACGTTTGGCTACGCGTTCAACCGGAGCCTGGAGAGCAGCCAACTACGCAGCAACCTTCGGAGTTTGACGTTTGGCTATGTGTTCTACCGGAGCCTGGAGAGCAGCCAGCTACGCAGCAGCCTTCAGAGTTTGACGTTTGGCTATGCGTTCAACCCGCGCATCCACTTCATGTTGATGTCTTATGCCTCGGTCTTCACGGCTGCGAAGGCTTACCTTGAGCACCAGTGGGGAATACTGCTGAGCCGATTGCCGGATTGCCCCCTGAGTAGCTTGAACTTGCTGGAACGTAAGAGTGCTCGACATATGTATGTGTATATACGAAGCAAGTTGGCAATTCTCACCTGCCAACTAGTTGGCCGTGTGACCCTCCTCAGATGTGACATTACACCTTTCGGCTCTGCTTTTTCGATGTGCACACGCTGTCACTGCACATTTGGGAATGCTTGAGTGGGCACAGTTCTTTTGAAGTGTGGGGCATGTTAGCTTTGTTCTTGCCTCTCCCAGCCCCTGGAGGAATGCTCAAAGCTGGACCGCAGGGAAGTCTGATGATCAGCTCTCCCTGTTGTCGTCTGTAGGTTTGTTGCTGGCTTCGTGGTCGTTCATGGGCCAGCTGTTGTTGTTGTCACGCTTTTGGAGGGTCCACGCTCCCGAGCCTGGTTGCGTGTGTCAGTGCTTTCAAATGAGAGGCGCTCGGATTGGCCAGACAGCTTTTAGCCCTGGAAGTGGCTGCTGGGTTCTTCTGGCGATCCCTTTTTCGATTTTGCCTCTCATCGCAGATTTCTGCGCCACGGGCCCTTAAGGACTGTGAGTGCATACTGCTTTCCAATCTAATTAGGTGCTTGTTGAATTTGATGCGAGAGGCGCGTCCTCTGGACCCATGCCTACCCAGAAAGAAACTACTACTACTACTACTACTACTACTACTACTACTACGACTACGACTACGGCTACCACTACCACTACCACTACTACTACTTCTGCTTCGACTTCTACTTCTGGTTCTACTCCTACTCCTACTTCTACAAGTATTGGCACATCCTCAACTTTTTCTACTGCTGCTACTCCTGTTCCTAGATGATACTCTACTACTACTGCTACTACCACTACCCACTTATCCCTACTACTACGACGACTACAACAGCTGCAACATCAACTGCTGCCACCACTGCTACTCAGCGTGCTGTCTTATCCTTAATCGTTGAGTGTGTCATAACGCAGACAAGTTGCAAGCAATGTTTCCCTGGGCCGCTGCGCGAAGGGCTTTCTCCAGCAAAGGCCCGGTAGGGGCTAACAATAAGCGCACGACCACTAAGTGTTCGAAGTCTTGGATCGGAGGGTTTAGGGTTTAGTGGTATTTGTGTGGCACATGGCCCTCACTGGGTAATTATCATAGAGGTTTGATGGAGGATCCATGGGGGCATCAGATGGACGCCCATAGCAACTGAGAAACTCTCGAAGGTAGTAACACCAGTCAGGTTCTGTGGCGTTCGATTCTGTCAAGCCGGGTTCCGGAGGTTTTTTCAGTTCCCTCTTCGGAAACGGTAGTATAGGCGCCTGTATAATTGCCTATACTATTCTGGAGTTCCTTGTTAGAAAAATAGTCTAATGGGCCCCAAAACCCTATTCTAATTATTAAGGCCCCTATATTACGAAGCCCCGAAGCCGAGCTGAACAACCATCCCCGGGTCCTTTTATGGTCTTTAGCTCTGCAGGTTTAGACTGCCACAGCCCCAAGCTGGGCTCTTCTTAAGGAGCAATAAGTTCAGTTAACTGTCATGATAAGTATTTACTATCTATCCCAAATACGATAACTTAAACATACCTTCTCTAATAAACATGAACCCAGTAAGCCCCCCCCACCCCCCACCCAGCCCATAAACCCCCAAAGCCCTGAAGCCCGACAGTCAAAAGATCACAAGACCCCAAGCCCTATAGGGAACTCCAGAAAGTTGGAATATAGTTTCAGGGTAGAATACCTTATAATTTACCATAGAAGGGTTAGGATAATCATATTCCAACTTTCTGGCTTTTACCTTAAACCCTTAAATCCCGAATCGATGCAGGGTTTGGGGTTTAGGGTTTAGCAGAAGCCTGAATACCTAGCTACTAATCTGAAGTTGCCAGGGTCCTCGACTGTGAATATACTATGTCATACCCCAAAGCCCTTATCCTATAAACAAGGCCCCTGTACTAGATTTTTAAACCCGTTTCGTCGAGTTCTGTTCTCCATCGCTCGCTCTGTGAGGCTATCGAGTGAAGAGGGCGCCGTGGTTTCAACTGAGTGAAATGGGAGTTTCCGAAAATGGGGATACCTTATTTTGGGTCCTTGTAGCAAGGATCCGACTGTTTAGGGTACTACATTAGGGTCCCCTATTTTCGGAAACTCCCAAATGTACGAGCCTAAACGATAAGCAATGGGGTAGTTCAGAGGGTGAGGAATCCAAAGCTGGCAACCCCAGACAATCACATTTAGCCGGGGTTCAGGGCATCACGGTTTTGTGCTTGCATCATATGGGTTCTATGACCGCGTGTGGGTTCTGGGTTTTGCGGTTTGGGGCTTGAGGGTCTGGGAATTGGGGTCTTTAGGGTTTTGGCGTTGGGCTGGTGACTGTGGCCTTCAAGGGGTCGGTGTCTGCGACAACCCGAACAACTTGTGGGTAGGTTGATAAGCAAAGTGCCGTTTACATCCTGGCTTCTTCTGCATCCTGGTCCCGAGATCAGCGGAGAGGAGCTGCCTTCCCGGGGTTCTTGTTCAGGGAGTCAGTTACCACAATAAAGAAGGCGTATGGGAGTTTCCGACATTGGGGTCCTTATAATAAAGATCCTACTATTCAGGGTACTACATTAGTGTTCCCTATTTTCGGAAACTCCCATATACTTGAGTTTACTGTAGATCCCCATTATGGTAACTTAACTCAAATCCCTTATAAGAAGATAGCAGTCCCAGGTGCGATACCCATGGAAGGAGGAGCTCATGCGAGACTCATGGAGCTTTCTCAAGACACTCGGCGTGAGGGTTGAGGATTTGGGGGTTTTAGTGTCTAGGATGCCCAGTATCAGTAGTACCCTTATTCCCTTTTTGTAGTCCTAGGTTCCTTATAAAGTTACCCAATACCAAAAAGAGAGGCCTTTTTATTCTTAGGTTACTGGGTATCCTAGGTTTCTAGGTGTTTCAGGATTTGGGTGTTGTGGTTGGGGTTAGGGATGTAGGCTTGGACCAGCAGGGGCAGTAGAACCTAACTGTCATGATTCGCTTCATGCCTCATAGCACGCACTGTCAACTCGGCCGTGGTTTGGTTCATTTTAAGTGTTTGATACGCAGCTTCTTCCACTTACTGTCAAATGCGCCACTGCTTCTTTCTGTGTGTATGGTCAGTTTTAAACCAGATGTAGACTCCAAGCAGCATGCCACGGCCATGAACATCTTGCTGCTGACTAGTAGAAGTGTTCAGGCGACATCATATCTTCGACTGATGTTGACATACTGCGCATCAACATCGTTGAGGTACCCTCCACATTCATGAGCCCACGTTTTTGAATCGCGGGGTCTACATTGTCTTGCGTAGAAGCTGGAATCGCCCCCACCTGCACCTCATCTACTTCGGAATCCGTCATCTGCAGACCAATGGCCTTGAAAAGCTCAATCCCGACTCTTAACGCCGAAGCGTTGAACCCCGAAGCTGCTATCTATGGCGCTAGGCAAGATATGATCGCGCACTTTCAGCAGATACCTGCAGCTAGTCTGCAGTGGGGCCATCAGAAATGTGCGGATGCGGGGAGACCAGGGCGGCTGACTGTTGGTAATTAGGGGTTCTATTATTTCTGCAGGCATGTCCATTCATGTGTTTTGAGGTTCGTAAAGGGCCATATATATATATATATATATATATATATATTAATATATATATATATATATATATATAACTATAATTATATACAATTGCATATATGTATCGATAAATATGTATACAAGTTTATATCTATATGTTTTTTTCGGCTTTATACGGCCCAATGGGGCTATAAACTCCAAACCCCCATATGAGGGTTTAGGGGTTCAGGGTTTAGGGGTTTAGGGTTTAGGGGTTTAGGGTTTAGGGGACCGATGCCAGCTCTGGCCCTGAGCCCACGCCAGCCCGTACCTGGACCCGAGAAGTATGTAGAACAGGGTTTAGGGTTTAGGGTTTAGGGGTAGCCTCTAATGGGTGTTGGGCCATGATTTTGTATAATGAAGTTTTTGATTTATTTGCGGAAGGGGGTGAGGGGGGTGAGGTAAATCTGAAAAGAAACTCGGCCCGAAGCCACCCTTAAGGAGCGGGACTCCACAGTGCACATCCGTGCAGATCCGTGGCCGAGGTTCACGATGAAGGAGTCGTAAATACAGGGGCGGAGGCAATTGATTTCATGCAAGTTCCCTGAAGTGTTCTATGAGGGTTCCTGCACGGGTCCAGAAATGAGGGCTTAGGGCTTTTGAGGTTTAGGGGGTAAGCTCTGCGATTTACATAGCAGTCCAGATAGCGTCCCTACAAGAGGGTGGGTGGTTGCAGTAGGTTATGTCTAATTGATTCAATATTTACCCCACAGAAAATGTATTCCTTTTGACAAATATCCCTACCAAGGGGATAGGTTTACATAGCTTAGGCGTAATTCATGTGCGCGTGTTTACATTTGGCCCATGCAGTGAGGGGGCCTGGGCTCTAGGGATTCATAATGGTGTTTATGGTGAACCTTAACCCTGAATAACCTACCTTTTTAGGGTTCCTTATTATGATTTCCTTATATAAGTCCTTAAAAAGGTAGGTTATTCCGGGTTAAGGAAGAGCTTTCAGGCTTAGGTTTCGTAGGTTTTGAAAACTTTGGGGTTTCAGGAGTTGTGCGTCTTTGCGCTTGGGGTTTTAAGCTGCTTAAATGGCAGCCTGAACCATTATAGTGCTCCCACCATCCCTCTGGGTTCCTGTGTTTGGTTATACGCAGTTCTACTATGGCATACACCCCAACCATGTTCTACGTATCACGGGCCGTACATTAGGTTGATTGCTGATACTTCGGGGCTTACACGCTCAACCCTGAATCCTAAACCCTAAACCCCAAGCCCCTAGATCCCTAAAGCCCTAAACCCCTAAAACCCTAAAAACACACAAACCCCTAAAGCCCTAAACCCTAAACCTCAAAGCCCTAACTCTATAGCTTAGTTACGGCCCCCATACAGCAAGAGTCTATAATAGGGCTTCTATTAAGGTCCTACTATATCTATATTATGAATATTAGTCAACCATTACTAAGTGGGAGCCGTACCCAATCTATAACACTGAAGCCCCAAAACACCCCAAACTGAAATCTTGCAGACTTGGGACTCGCAGGAATTTCTCGCGGAGAAGGGCCTGCTGCCTGCGGTGATCACAAAGCAGCTTTTCAAAAGGATCCTTTGAGGTTTAGGGTTTAGGGGTTTAGGGATTTAGGGGTTTAGGGGTTTAGGGTTGGATCTTTTGGGGTTTACCTTAATCCGGAAAAACCTACCTTTTTAAGGACTTCTATAGGAAATCTTAATAAGGAGCCCTAAACAGGTAGGCTATTCAGGGTTAAGGTAGGGTTTAGGGTTTCATAAGTTTGGGGTTTAGGCTCAGGGTTTAGGTTCTATGAGTTTTGGCTTTTTTTAGATTTTAGGTGCTGGAAATTCCCAAATAAGAAGGTCCTCATATAAGCGATCCTTGATCCTACCCACTCGAATCTTCGCCTTAAGCCGTTCGAAATCTCAAGCAGTTGCCAGGTTTTGGGTTTGGTTTTTTCGGTATAATAGTTTAGGGGTTTAGAGGGTCTGGGGGTTTAGAGTTTAGGGGTTTTGGATTTGGGGGTTTAGGTTCACGGTCCCGAAACCCTAAACCCTGGACTTCTACCTCTCCGAAACCCGACGGCTTTAGTGTTGTGGACTTCATAGCCCAGAGAGCCCAATACCCCTTAATTAAGGAATATAGCTTAAATCATAATATGAAGCCCTATATAATTTAAGCAATATTCCTTGATTAAGGGGTATCGGGCTCTCTGGGAGAAGGTTTTGAGCCAGCAAATGATCTTTCCAACTTTCTGCTTCTGATTGTGGCTGCGCCTCGGTGTGGTGCAAGGGTCGAGACTGTGGAGCCGTCACGTCTCTTGGTGTTAGGGTTTGATATATCCGTAGGCACCCTATAATGGGCCCCAAAACCCCATTCCAATTATTAAGGCTCCTACATAGTCTGTGTCAAGGTCTTCTAGCTGGCTGTATATGTTCGCTTGAAGACCTTTGAGAAAGAGCACGACGTCAGGTATGGCCCCAACCGGAAGGTCACGTTCAACAAGGCAGAGATAGAACGGTGCCTTGCTGGTATGTGTCGGAAATTCTGGGTTCCCTGTGCAAGGGGTTTCACTATACTTGTCTTGGTGGGTCTGTATTTCGGATGGTCTTTGCTGGAAGTTGGATTAAGAACAGCTTTAGCATCCTTGACCCCAAATGCGGACTGAGACTGTAAATGCTAAACTGGGTATGGGTTTCAGAAACACTTCCTGTAGCATCGTCACCAGAGGGATATGAACATATGTAAATGGGTGGTTATCAATATTAGGGTCCCTTTTTTGGGTCCTTATTATAATACGGCACCTAATATTCAGGGTAATTACCCAAAAAGGGACCACATTTTTGCTTAGAGTTTCGAGTTTGGCTCCACGGTTTCTGAGGAGGGTCAAGGATGTTTAAGGCTTGGGCTTGGCTTCGTCAACTTGTTTTTGGTGACGGCGCCTGTACGCGCCTATGCGTTTTTGCAGGTTTCAGGGTATTGGGGTGGGGGGGTTGGGGGAGGGGGTGGGGGGGGTGGGGAGGGGGTTTGGGGGGTGGGAAGGGGGGGGGGATAAGAACGTCATTCAGATTGCGCCTATGCCCCAAACACTGGTAATTTGCAGCATTTTCGCCTCTTTGTACAACCAAACATAAACCCAATCTTTAACCCTATAAGTCTAACCTAAGACCTAAGACAAGTCAATACTTTAAGCAAACTCTCTCTAAAATAAAGTTTTGTTCTGCAGCCTCTTCGAAAATAGGTCTAATCCCCGAGCGAAAGCGCAGTTCAGGCCAAAGTTTACTCCAGCCTCTAGTGTTTCGCGCACCTGCCTTAACCAGAATTCTTCTTCACATTGCGCTCTCGCTGTGGTTTCGCGCGTATCCATGCAAAACTCTTCATACTGGAATGTGTAAAAACGCATAGGCGCGTACGGGCGCTGTCACCTTGTTTTTGAAGCCAGTCATGGCGATATTCCGATTCTAGAACACTGCATGCAACCTGTTCTCCTTCTTGGGATTTCGGGTTATTAGGGTTTTCAGGTTGCAGACTACAGTAGTTCGACCGCTGACAGTGTTGTAGTGCGACTTCTTGTCTTCGTGTGCCACACGCTCAGACGTTGCGATCAGCACCAGTACACTTGTCTTAGGGCACTTAGAAATACTTCTTAATTATTGGTTAGTATAATCCCTAAGAAGCAGCTAAAAAAGAATTTCATATATATATATATATACATATGTTTTTGCTAGGGTTCCAAGCGTGGGGTAGCTTGAGCTCGTTCTCTGGACATTACATTACAGAGGTTGCTTGAGAATACAGGGTTTGAGGACGCTGCATCAGGATCGCGTGAGGCATTTTGCCTGTGAAGTAGGAATTCGTCCGTTGTGCTAAACGTTTCATAACGGCCATACAGGGGCTTACGCGCAGATTTCAAAGAAATAGGATCAGTTTTCATGCCCAGTCAAGGGACCCTGCTCGTACCCAAGTTGGCGAAGAGCCGCCTGCGGCAGAGAGCCTGAACCACATCAAAACCTGTTAAACCACAAATCCTCTATGCCTCACGCTAGCAAGTTGTAGGATATGAGGTCCTGGCTCCAACCAATCCAAAAAGTACGTCCTCCGAACCACTCTGAGTTGGCGCATGTGCTGGATAGAGGCAAGCTGATGTATATGTAGCAACAAGTGGGGTCCCTAGCCCTCCAGAAGATTAAAGTCGGAAAACACGCATGCTAGAAGATTCCTGGGTGGTCATACGTCTGGGAATGCAGTACTTAGAATCTGAGGCGCTCTTTGGGCCCAGGAGCATGCAGGAATAGGATCCATGCATGTATAAGATCCTGACAAACTACAGCAAACTTGTGGTTGTATTGCGTCAAAAAAACTTGGGTGTCGGTTCGTGACCCTTTCATCCCACCCGAGATGACCAGTGGCACCAACAAAAGACAATTTTTACATGCCGAGAATTAAGATTCAAGCCAGCCGACACATCAGATTGACAGCAGCCCGGTGTCTCAATACAGTTCGCAGCCCTGCACCCTACATCCTAAACAAGAACGTACTCCAAAATTCACGCGCCACATGCTCAACCCCGCACCGTAAGCCCGAAACCCTAGATCGATGACATTAAGTCTCCACGCATCCAGTGACCTTGTAATGCCCTTAGTCCGTTGCGAATACTTCGGCTAACCGCCACCAAGTACATTTGCAACTGTTGCATGCAGAAGACTGTTCTTTTTGCAAAGACGATCAATCACACTCCCTTGCATGCATGTTTTGTTGAGCGATGCTCAAACGTCTTGACCGGGTCACATTACGAGCATGTAAAACTTATGACTTATGACTCTTTAACATAAGTACATGGTAGACGGCACGACTGCGACACAACCACACGCTGAGCAGCCAAGGATAGCTTTCGACGAGCCCGAAGGACACGTGTCGCACTTGTTCAAAGGCGGAGCAACCACGAACGGAAGGGGTTTCCGGCACATGGTGTAGTAACATCAACATAAAATAGCGCGTTTTTGTGATAAGCGGTGAATTCTAAGGGGTTTTCTTAAATCCGAGCGCCCCTTCCCTCAGTTCTGAACATGCGTCCCCCAGGATCAGGTTTGTCCAGGGTTTCGCACTCAAGGTTTCAAAATGTAGTCCAATTTTAGGGATGGTTCACATTAGTGCAAGGTTGGGATTTCGGGTGTGGGTTAGAGTTACTCATGGGGTTGGTGCTTGTCTTGTTGAAGTCCCGGTGAACTTCTGATGGCCGTGCAGGGTCTTGTGGATCTTCGTATACGATCGAAAGTTCATGAAAGTTCTGTGCCTTAAATCCTTAGCGACCTTGCTTACAACATTTTACAACCATATAAGCCTTTACTCAGAAATCCCCACAAGCCGTGAAGTAGTAGTGGTCATGTAAACCAGGAGTTGCTAGTTGAGTTCCTACTGGATCAGCAACTTGCACCGAGTAGCCGATGGGGTTCTCGACATGAAAGCTCCATTCGTGAGACGCGGGTTCAGTATCTTAGCCTAGATGATATAGAAGCCTGAAAAATTGTCACTACCATTCCTCAGTTTTTTACGTTTGATGTAGTACACCCCAAAACCTTGTCTTAATTCTCCAGGCTCGTCGCCATACTGTACCGAAGACCAAGATGCCAAACTACAACACCCGCCACGTCTAGTTTCAATACAGCCGACAATCGTAATTATCTGCCACTGGGTCCCGAACCCTAGCTCTAAACCCTAAACCCGAAACAAGCTAAAAACCCTTTAAAGACTTCAACCTGAAACCTAAGAGCCGAATCCCAACTCTCAACCTTGAATGCTATCAGGATTTTGCGTTTTGAGGGCGTTAGGTGTTTAGGCTTCAGGGCTTTAGCAATGTCAGGGTCAGGGTTTTACACTTTGAGGGTTCAGGGCTTTGGGGTTCTTGGCTTTGGGGTTTTAGCGTCTGAAGCCAGGGTGGGTTTCCAGTTTTTGGCTTTAACTTGCACCCCAAACCTGTAAAACCATAAACCCTAAACCCCTAGACCCCTCAACCCCTAGACCCTAAACCTCTAAACCCCTAAACCCTAAACCTTAAACCCTAGAATCCCTAAACCCTAAACCTTAAACCCTATAATGCTTAAACCCTAAACCTTACAACCCTAAACCCTAAACCCCTAAACCCCTAAACCCTAACCCCTAAAGCCCAAACCCTAATCCGAAAGGCCGACTCTTCCGCATCCACGTGGGCCAATGGATCGCCCGGAGCTCAGGTTGCGCGTGTACATACGCTTTAGGGGCTTAAGGGGTTTAGGGGTTTAGGGGCGTTTAGGGGTTTAAAGGATTTCGGGGTTTAGGGGCTTAAGGGGCTTAAGGGGTTTAAGGGGTTTAGGGGTTGAGGGGGGTTTAGGGGTTTAGTTAGGCGGTTTCGGATATTAGGGGTTTTAGGGTTTGAGGGTTACATGTAACTAGGCGCTGCTTAGACGGTGTTTTGCTGTTTAGGTGGTACCATTTTGTTCATAAATTTATGTAAAGGTTGGGATCTCATAATCAGAGGCTACGGTAACCAAAGACGGGTACTACATTTTTGGGGCCTGGGTAATTCTGTGGTGCGGAATCCTGATGTACGGTTTATAGTTCCTGAGTTTGGGACCCTTGGGTTCGCTCAAGGTTAAAGTATAAGGGTATAGGCTTTGGGTTTCCGGGTTGGGCTGTAACCATAAACCCTGCGCTTTTGTGTTTACTGACCTGTTCTAGGACTTAGGATGTCGGTTTGAGATTTGCCATCGTCCGGTCATGCATCCCCGAAAACGATTAATTTAAGAAAGCGTTGAATCGGGTTTGCGGGTCATTAGGGCTTCGTTTTGCTCTGGATGTTCAGCCTCTGCGGGCGCCTGATTAAGACTGCATTTCGTTTAGTAACAATTTGGGTAGTTCTCTAAAATGAGGGTCCCTCTTCGGGTCCTTTTTACAAGGGTGCTGTACTATGTTGGGGACCTAAAAGGGGAGCCTACTTTAGAGAACTACCCAGTTCAATAGGTATCCGGTTTTTGAAAGCTCTCATATAGAAGGGAGATGCATTGATCCGGCGCGATGGCAAACCGTCGCCTCTATACTTCAGCGACTCCGTCTTGTACGCCCTGTCTCCTGTGTCCTGCCGACAACCAACCCAAAACCTAAACCCTTAAGAAACCTAAACCCCTGAACCCCTTAAACACACCAGCCTGAACCCTACACGTAGTTTTTTTACAGACCAGGAGGAGTGCGTGGTGAAGGACTTGCAAGCCCATCCCGTGGAGCAGGCAGGGAACAAGTCTTCTCTTACAGGCTCCACAGAACCTGACAGGTAGGGATTTGGTGTTTTGGGTTTAAGAGTCCTAAAGCCGAGAACCCTGTATGCCGACACATCAGGCGCTCACCCAAAAGTGAGGCTACAAGACTGTATGAAACCCTAGTTGCCGTACATGTACCGCCCAAAACCCTCAACCTCAAAACCCAAGCCCTAAATCGTAAACCCAAAACCGCAAAACTCGTACCATCCTAAACACCACATACTCAGCTCTGAAGGCCATAAAATTAACTCTTCGAATCTGGTTTGGGCTTCCCCGGATTCTTTCCGAGGGCTGGAATTAGTGCACGAGGCCTCAATCTTCTTGGACTTGTTTCGGGTTTCTTCTTGGGTTTTGTTGGCTTGCAGTCGGTTTGTGGTGGGCGTTGTGGTGTTTTAACGGTTTCGATAGGGTTTCCTTGGTTGCGAAAACGGTCTGGTAAAGTTACATTGAGAATCATTGGGGCTGGTTTACGCTTTAGCATCGAGATTCAAGTTTTCGGCATGGGGAATCATCTCATATTCGGCGTTTAGGGATCAGATTCCAATTTGCAAATTTTGTTCGACTGTTTTACGGCTTGAAATGTACGGGCTTGAAGAGACTCCCCTGTCCGCACAACTGTCTGGTGCTTAGTACAAGGAATGGTGGAATGCATCCCCACAGTAGTCCCATTATAATCCGCAATCATAGTCTCCATGATCCATTCCCCCATTCCCTACTACGAACCAGACAGACAACTTATGTAAGCCTTTGGAGCTTCATAGCTGCGTGAAAAGCTGTCGCAGTGTGTTGTGGTACACCGCCTTATGCTACAGCGTGCATGTTGTGCATATGTACATATGTGTATATGTTTGTATATATATATATATATATATATATATATATGTATTATGTATATGTATATGTATATGCATATGTTTATGTATATGTATATATATATATATATGTATATGTATATGCATATGCATATGCATATGTATATGTATATGTAGATATGTATATGTATATGTATATGTATATGTATATGTATGTATATATATATATATATCATTTATACTTACATTTACGCTTATGATGCTAATAACAATACAATATTACATTCACATAAGCTTCGCCCCTGAGCCTGCATCGAGGAGCTGTATTTTGTGCGCTTCGAACGACATGTGCCTGGGAACATGACAGTGGCACCTTGGCTTCGAAGCTCTGGCGAAGCGGCGTGTAGGGTTCTTGAGCGGCAGTCCTTCGTAACCTGTTTGGACGAAATAGGCACACGTTATATGCTAGATGCTCTCCTTGAAAGAAAGCTGAAAACAAGAGATCTACAGGTACCGATTCCGGTATCGATCTCAGGCCTGTGGGGTGCCTTGGCTTGCATGCGATTACTGGAAAGAATTTTCTTTTGTGAGGCCCAGCAAGCTACATTCCAAGACCTGATGCTAATCAAACTCAGTCGATTTCACGCAAAGCCACAGAGGAAGGCGTGCACACACAGACACACACACACACATCCATACATAATGCATACATCCATCCATCCATCCATCCATCCATCCATCCACTTATGCATGCATGCATTCTTTACAAGTCGGTACAGCGATGCATGCAGGGCATGCATGGATGTATGCATAGAGGCATGCATGCAAAAAAACCGACATCAACCACACAATACAATAGGTACAATACTTCATGTAATCATGTCATCGCATGTTTTTTAATTTCATATAGTATGAAACGAAATACACGAATATAACGTAATCTAATAATCTAATGCAGTTCAAGAAAAGAATATAACATGATCTGAGACCGTGTAATGTCATAAAATACATTGTAATGCATCATAATGCACCGTACTATATCATGATATCGCCTACAGAAATGTAGTGTTATAAGTTTGTGTATATACGCATGCAAGTAGGCACATAGGCATACAGTCATATACAGACATAGACACATGCATATACAGATGCTAACACACATACACTTAAACATACACATATACACATATACACACACATACATAAATACGCATATATGCATACATTTACATGCATGCATAAGCACATGCCGACCTACCGCCCTACTTGGTCTAGTCTAGTACCTACCTACGTACCTAAATACCTACCTGCCTACCTACCCACTACCTACCTACGTACATACATACATACTTACATATGCACACATGCATGCACGTGTGTGTGTAGATATACATCATATACGTATATATATATATATATATATATATAAATAGATATACATTGCTATAGCGAACCGTGTACCTGCTTGTTTAGCTAGTTGTCTGTCTATCTGTCTGTCTATATAGGTAAGAAGCCCAAGGATGCCCCGGCTACCGCAAGGGCGGCCATGTAGAAGTGGCCCTGCCGACAGTTCTTTGCGAGGCCCGCTGCCCGCTTGGGTTTGGGTTCAGGGTTTCAGGGTTTTGGGTTTGGGCTGGAGCGTAGTGAGAAGGGTTTGTCGTTCTTTATAAAAGTTTTGACCGCGTGTTGTACGGGTTCTGTGGTCTTGTGAAGGCTTATAAATAAATAAATAAATATATATAATTATATGCATTATTAATTGGCTTTCATGCGTTTTGACACCAGCCATGAGTGTCATAAGAGTTTTCTGCGGAAAGCCAGGGTTGGGACATGTTGGGGGGTGCAGCGTGCAGGTTTGAGGCTGCTTTGTGTGGAGGGATGCACTGCGGGAAACAGAGCACTGAAAGTCCGTCTAGCCCTCCAGTGTATGCTTTTGGCCTTGAGTTAAGGGGTTTCCTATGTATGTAAGTCTTTAGGGTCAGAGTATCTATGTATACAGCACATGGGTTTCTCTCAAAATTCCCGCGAAGAGTCTACCTAAGACTTCTGTGCGGAGCGCTTCCGGAGCTCCACCCACGGATCTTGATGTGTGGACAGCATACCTGAACCCTGTAAAGCTCTAAGCCCTGCACCCTAAACCCAAAAACCCTGCAATGTTTGTTTCTACCCAATTCCTTAATCCTAACCAGAACTGGCATCGTCGTGTCAGGTGGTTGGTGAGCGGATACCTCCTCCGCTTATCGTCGACACTGCAAAAGCATATACTGGGAAGAGCATAGCAGTGAGGTCTGAAGAATTACATATGAGTAGTGGTAGTATCCCTTGCAATTAAAGGCCTCGATTGCTGAAGTCAAGTGTGCGACCTTTCTGTTGAGAGGATTCCAAGCCTTCTCGGGTTTGCTGCCGCCCGAACACCGCATAGCTGGGGTGCTTTTTGAGTTCCGGATTTTGGGGTTCTCTTGAAAGCCGCGCAATACTTTTGCATGTGGGTTCCCATAGCAGCGACATCTTGCAGACAGGGCACGGTTGATGTTGCAGCATGCAAGCACCCCCAGCTACGTGCGAAGTGATCGTACATAGTGAGGTGTGTAATCCTGCACTGCCTGAATCTGCACATAAAACGAATCGGTAACCGTCTGACCTGCCCAGCGGCCCAACAGTGCCCGTAGTTTGTTGAAAGCGTTTCCTGCTAGTTACCCTGACCCTAAACAAGTCATGCTAAGCATCCCTGAAGCCTAGAGACATCCCTGGGGCTCCAAATAGCCCCAAAGTAGGTTTTATTTATCGACTTTAGGCCCCACAGTAGGTACTATTCGTATACTTGGAACGCTAGCGATATGATCCCCAAACCCGGCTTCCACGAACCCTCAATCCTGAACGTCCAAGGGCTTCAGCAAAACAGCCCTAGAAGCCTCAGCAGTGAGACCCACATCCCCTGGAACCGAAACCCAAGCGCCCTAATCCCTAAGCCCTAAGCCGAAACTCCTAATCCCACAAACCCCTAAAGCCCTACAGCCCTAAACCCTAATTCCCTAAAACCCTAAAGCCCTAAACCCTAAACTCCTAAACCCTAAACCCTAAAACCCTAAACTGCGCTGAGGATGTGAGCAACCTTCATCTCGAGGATCCCTTCGGCAAGATCACTCTCAGAGATATGCTCTCCCTCCTTCCCAAGGACCATGTTTAGGGTTAAGGGCGTATAATGGAGTATGGTTTAGGGTTAGGGTTTTGGGTTGAGGGCTTATGGTTTAGGGTTTTAGGGGTTTAGGGGTTTAGCGTTTCGGGTTTATTTGTTTAGGGTTCGGGCTCAGGGCTGAAGTGATAGGATACCGTTTCATACATACATACATGCATGCACACATGTATACAAGAGAGAGAGAGAGAGAGAGAGAGAGAGAGATCGGTATAAGGGCTATCACGGCGCAGACCGGGGCCCCATATCCCTGCAATTGCTGCAGACCGGACAACCAGGTTGCGTGTGCGCGCGAGGGGAAGGGGGTACCTGCTCTCTCGGCTCTGCGAAAGAAGCTGTATTGTTGGTGTGGGGACAAGCTGTTCAAAGTTTACAGTTGTAGGCTGTCACTACCATGATTGTATGCTAAGCTAGGCTATACCCTCTCATACCCCCCTAAGGTGAATTTAAATAGCTTGTGTGCATTGGCCCGGAGACAGCATGTAAGCGTAATGTTCTCATCCTAAATGCTACAGACTTCACCCATCGCAGCCCTAAGCTCCCAACCCTAAACCATCCTAAATCCGACTCCGAAAGGGATGGTTACTCTAGTGTATCTTTGTAAGGGATCTCATGGAATAGTATTGGAAAATATTCAGACCCGGTGTCACCCCTCAGCCTTAACTCCTGTAGCCAGCCTTCAGGACGGAACAGTGCGTTTCGCACGCGAGTATAGCACCTGGCCGGAAGAGTCTTCGACTGGGGTTTAGGGTTTAAGATGAGTTTTGAACTTAGGTGCGTCTTACAAAACGGTACACAGCATAGTCATGATTATCTGAAGCTGTTCTGCACACCCCTGGTTCGCGAACACCCATTTAGGTTCATAGTCATAGTGCTAGGTTCCTGATTGTAATCCTCATTCTGCTGGGGCCGACATTCTTCAGTTCACTTGGTTGGGTGTTGAACGATCAGTGCAGAGAGCCGCAACTCTGTTTGATTGGATCAAGCCTGCCGAACCCAAAACCCGGACTAGCATCCTGGAGTGCACCATCCAAACGCTCCAAAAAGCCCTCAACAACTCCATTGCGTTTAGCCCCAAAGCTCGAAACCCCATAAAGCCCAGACCCTTGTGGGCCCTACATCCTAAACCATGGTGACATAGAGCTTGGTGAGAAAACTTCGGCTCCGAATAATTCTAGTATCACCTTGTAGCCCTCTATCCTCTTCAAACTCCTTTGTAGTTGCAGCAAGACTTACTACTGAGCATTGTTCTACTTGTTCAGCACTATGCATTAACCAATTTCAACCCTCATGCGGTTAGTTAGTTGTCAGCATCCAACATTGCGGCAGCGGGCATCGAGTCGAGTCCGTCAGTACTAGGGTTTCGGGGTTTACGGTTTAGGGTCTTGAAGCTCTTTCTTTTTTGCACATCTGGTCTTCTTTGATAAATGACCCAAAGCAAGCCAAAATCGACCAGAAACAAAACATGCTAACCAAAAGCTACACGTAGATGGAACCTTGAAGCACAATCTGGAGCATGAGCGTTTTGAACTTGGAGTGGGAAGCAAGGCATGGACGAAGAGGTGGTCACGTGCCACCCGGCTCACTGTGTGAGGTTGGGTTTAGAGTTTTGGGCTTGGGTCTAAAGTTTCTTGGCTTACGTTTTATAGGGTGTGTTGTATTTAGGTTGGCTTTCAGCACATACGCAGGCCTACGTTAGAATCCGGCCAGAACACCCAGTCGTAGAGTAGGCAACCTTTAACTTTTTTGTGTAGTATAATCCCTATATAAAGCCAAAAAGGTTAACCTTTAGTTCCCCATGATACCCGACAAGCGGGAACAAGACATACCAAGCAGAAATCTTGTCTACATAGTGCCAGGAATCTGTGCAAGCCCTGCAGTGAAATCCCAAAAGTTGGGAACCCAATAGCCTCAATCTTTAAGAGCATTGACAAGGGAATCTCAGCACTATTTGGCCTTAACCCGGTTTCCAACTTTATGGGGTTTGCTGTAAACCTACAAGCCCTTGAAGCTGCTCATACACCGCGGGTTCGTGGAAGCAAGGGCCTTTGGCCTTCAGTCGAGGGTCCGATTTCAGTTTGGGGCCCGGCTGCTCGAACATCTTCCGTGTTACGGTTGATCATATAAATCCTGCAGTACCCATAATGAGGAATATGCCCTCATTCCCATAGTTTAGGGTCCTTAGGGTAATGCAGGATTTATATGTTCAACCGTAGTTCAGAGTTTTGAGTTCAGTGTTTGGGGGTGGAGTTGTAGTTAGAAAGCTGTGAAGCCGTCGGTTGAACTTCCTCCGAAGCTTCCCAACATCAAAGGGGAAAAGGAGGGACCCTTAATGGGGATCCCTACCCTTTAATGGGCCATATAATGGGTATATAATGGCTATATTAAGGGTATATACCTAGGGGTCCTTATTAAGGGTCCCTCCTTTTCCCCTTTGACAACAATCTCTCCCAAGCTTCCCACGAAACTTCGCCACAATCTCCCAAAGCGTTCTCAGAAAAAATGTCGCCGGCAAGTTTCTCGGGAAGCTCGGGTTGGGGGACACAGAGTTTAGGAGTTTGGGATTTACGAGTTTGCGTTGAAAGCTTGGACGGCTCGGGCTTCAAACCTGCAAAGTTAGCTAAACCCTTTATCCACATCAAGCTACAGACCCTAACCCCCGCGACTCTCACCCCTTAGCAAAGTAAGCCCTACCTTAACCCCAAATACCCTAACACTTTCAGGGTTTATATGAGGAAATCCAACTAACAAGCCCTGAAAACCAGGTCTGTTCTACAGGTACAGGTAGCCCTAAACCCTTAACCCTAAACCCTAAACCGTAAACCCTAAACCCTAAACCCTACCCCTAAGCCCAAAGCCCAAAGCCCAAAGGAAAGCCATCGAGCCGACGCTAGTGCTGAGGTTATGACCCGAAGGCACTTGGTGAAGTTCCTCTGCCACACGATTGGCGCCCTGACTTTGCCCGTGACTTTAGGGCTTGTGGGGTTTGGGGTGACGGGTTTAGGGCGTACGGTTTAGGGGGTGTCGGTTTAGGGGTTTATGGCTAGGAAACCGAGCTTATTAATTGGGTTTGGGATGATTAGCGGTACCCAAAACCCAAAACCCTACATTTAAACCTACATCCTAAACCATACTCTTAGGCCCTAGACCCTCCCTCTACCTGAAACCTGAAACAGAAGTGCTTGGTGGTTTAAGACTTGCAGCCTTAAAGAGCTCCCCGGCACCGAGCTTTCTAAGGGGGCGTTGAGGGTTTAGGGTTTAGGGGTTTTGGGTTTAGGGTTTAGGGGTTTACGGTTTGGGGTTTAGGGTTTAGGGAGGGAAGCTTGGCAGGTTAGTGGAAGGGGTGGGGTGGGGCAAGGGACCCTATATTCGACACCCGAACAAAAATGTAAACCCGAAACCCTTAGGGCTAGGGCCGTTCAGAGTTTGGGAGTCTGAGGCGACAGGGTGCGATGACATAGGTTGCTTTCTGAACGGCTCTGTATAGCTTCGTAGTAGTCGAAGTAGTAGAAGAAGAAGAAGGATGCAACCTGTATCTTTCGGGGGGTACTATACTCCCTGAACAACCTATAATCCGAAAGGGTAACCTTACTGGACGAGTAAGATAGGGTTTACCGGTAGCCCAACAAACCACATTCTTTGGGGGGCCCTACTATTTACTGTTTCTGGCATATGCTAGGGTATGTGAACTTTCAACCGGTGCAGGGTCTCTGCCGCACGTCCCAAGACTCGAAGGTGCCGTTTAGGCGTCCTACACCCTAAACCCAACACCCTAAACCCAGACCCTACCGGCTTTCGTCAAGCACATTCGGCGGAGTCGAAAAGTGGGCCTTAAAAAAAAAACACCCAAAACCCTACACTCAAGGCCCAAAGCCCTAAACCCCAGGTTTGCCTGCGGCCTCAGCAACTCCAGAAGAATCTCAAGGGCCGACATACCAAGAGCTTTGGAATTACAACTAAAGGCAATTCCGCACAGTCCCTGTATAGTTTCACGCCCTACTGTTTAAGATAATTGATCCCACAATCTGGCACCTAAATCTAAACCAATCGGCAAAGCCTTTTCCGAATATCTAGTTGGCAACCCAAGCTTTAAAGGGAACTCCAGAAAGTTGGAATATGGTTTCAGGGTAGGATACCTTATAATTTACCATAAAGGGTTTAGGATATCAATTTTCCAACTTTCTGGCTTTTACTTTATGGCCAAAGCCAACTCTCCGGCAACTTGGAAGATAGAAGTTTGGAAACTGTCAAACCCCAAACTTGCGAAGACAATCCTAGCACAGCCCAAATTAAGGCAAGATCCGAACTTCGACCACCGTGGGGGTCGCTATCACTTGACGTACACCGGCTTCTGGCCCAAGCAGACGACGCGAGCTTGACACACTCTAAGGTTTAGGGTTTAGGGTATATAGGGGTTTAGGGTTTAGGGTATATAGGGGTTTAGGGTTTAGGGTATATAGGGGTTTAGGGTTTAGGGTATAGGGATGAGTGGTGGGACAAACTCAATTGGCCTGGAGTCGAGGGTTGCAACATGTTGGGTTTCTGCGGTGGGTCGATGTTTTCAGGGGTGGCCTGTGCGGGAAGTATTTCACATCTGTCACTCGGTTATTGAAGGTTTTTTTTGCCAATTTTTGATCCAGGAGATTTATACGGGAGAAGATGGTGCTGTAGTCTCTTACGGATTAGAGTGGATACCGGGATAGAGTAGCCGAGCGCTGCGCGTATTTGCCATGTTTCACCTTGCCAGAGTTGCCGATCGGCACATCGCCATCGTCGTAGCTTCGTTTTCGAGCCATACAAAAACCGGTCGCTGTGAGCACACGGGCTTTGGGATTTAGAGTTTAGGTTTCGGTTTGTGTCTGCGAAACGCAGGAGCGTAGACTGCGGACGCTGTGTTTGTTCACTGCTAGCAAGCCCCACAAGTTGAACGGTTACGTAGCGGGTTCATGATTCCCTGGCCAGACTTAGAGGAATCACGATTCCAGGCATTACGCTGGAGACCTGCCACCTCGTACTTTCGGGCTTTGGATCTGCACGTTGAGCTACCAACACCACATTTTGCAAACCCTCTATCGATTACATGCCTTGCAGCAAGGAGCCGCAGGTTAAACGACCGACAACTCCATGAGCAGTGAAACGGAAGCCTCCAATTTAGTTCGAGCCTTCATGATGACCAACAATCGTAGTTAGGGGCTCCTTGTTAGAACTATAGTAGAACATATTCCGAAACCCTCTTCTTAATATGAAGGCCCCTGTATCATGCTTCGCCCATGTAAGCCCTGCCGCGGCTTTAGACGGCCGCCCATGCTTGTGGGGTTATGGGCCACTTAGGGTTCAAAGCCGCGGAGTTGCCGACAGCGAGATTCGCGCAGGGCGCGCTCCCCGGTGCAGTCCCTATCGAACGAGCAACCCCACCGAAAACCCTAAACCCTAGATAAACTCCGACACCTCTAAACCCCTGAACCGTCAACCCCTGATCCCAAAACCCCCAGACCCTAAACCCCTAAACCCCGAAACCCCTAAACTGTAAACCCCTCAACACTAAACCTGAGAGATTAGCACCGAGGAGCCGTACCGGACCCGAGCTCGTGCCCCCAAATGTTCACCCCAAAACTCTTATAGGGGTACTTAGAACTAATTTTTTAATTTTTGGTGATTACAGTCCCTAAGAAACAGCTAAAATTATTATATTTTGTGCTGGAGTTCTAAGTTCAATATAGAACTGCCCTACAGTCGAAAGCTACAAGATCTCATCCTGAAGCTTCTAATCTAGTATGATATGGGTAGTTGTCAAAATTAGGGTCCCTTTTTGGGGTCCCTATTCTAGTACGGCACCTAATAAATATTTGGGGTACCCAAAAAGGGACTTCATTTTGACAACCACCCGCAGTAGATGCCATAAATGTGGAACATGGGCTTAAGGATGATACGTGATTAGTGCCGGATTACCTTTTAGTTGTATACATCAAGGACATGAGGATCATGCTGTTCCAACTTTCTGTCTTATGGTATAGTATTTTATCGTGCTTTTATAGTATATTATAGTATATTATCGTACTTTTATAGTATATTATAGTATATTATCGTACTTTTATAGTATATTATAGTATACTGTCGTATATACACCAAAGGACGTCAAGGCCCAGCAGGACAATACGCGCTACGCCCTGCAGCTAGACCCAAAACCAAGAACGCCATCGCGATGAAAAGAAAGCAAGGCGACTCAGGGTTTAGGGTTTAGGGTTTAGCCCGACACCTTTTTTAGGGTACCTAATTTTATGTTAGGGTAGGGTATGAGCCTATAGGTACAGTCCTAAAACCCGACACCACGAACACTCGCATGTTGGTTTCGGTGCAGGTTGACAAAGCTGGAGCTGTTGTTGAAACAGTCGCGCACCCAGATTCGTTCAGGGACGCGGGGTCTCAGAGTCTCACAGGCGGGCATGTGGGTTGTGGGAGTTTATGATGCAGTGATTATATATATATATATATATAGAGAGAGAGAGAGAGAGAGAGAGAGAGAGAGAGAGAGCTGAATGATTGGTTGATTTGTTGAGTAGAAACAGCTTAGTAGCAGAGTAGGTAACCTTTAAGCTTTTGAGGCTCATATCACCCTACTTTAATTGAAAAGGTTACCTTGTTTGGGCTAGGATATGCAGCTGCTAAGACAGCATCCCCGTAGAGTCGCATCCCCTCAAACTCGCTGCTAACTTAAGGCCCTTTATTCCAGAGCTGGGGTCAGGTAAAATACGGCTGATGATATAAATCCTGCATGACCCATAACACGGAATATACCATAATTCCCATAGCTTAGGGTCCTTAAGGTAATGCAGGATTTATATCACCAACCGTAGTGGTAAAGTATAGTATGTTACAATACATTCTGCCATATTTAATGACAGCAGTTTTTATACAGCAGCCGATTATAGCGTAGTAAAACTTATTGTGCAGTGGTGTTGTACAGTGCATTACCGTACCTACACGAGCAACTACCAATGTTATCCCTCAGAGTTCCTTCTTCTACTGTTGCTCATGTACACCAAAACCCTGTTTTGATTATTAAGGCCCTATATTACGGTGTTTAGGGTTTCGGGTTTGGGTATGGAGGGGCTTTTTCTGCGGAAGATGTTTAAGTCTTAGGGTCTGGCATGTTTGGGCTTCAGGTCTTTGCTGCGCTTGGGCAAGGGTCAGCTCGCTCTCTCCCTCTCTTTCTTTTTACGGTTTAGGGTTCAGGGCTGTGTGTGTGTGTGTGTGTGTAGCAACTCCTGCTCAGCACGAGGGAGGAGGCAAGTCCTCAACGTTGTTTCGGAACTGTTGGAAGGAAGCCTTGCTTGCCGTGTGAGAGTCTTAAAAGTCGAATCAACGCAGGGCTACAATTGCGACTACATTCACTGCTCCTACTACTGCTACTCCTATTCCTACTCCTACTGCTACTTCTTTATAGATGCTTATGAACCAAAGTCCAAACGTACCATAGGGGCCTAAATGATTACCTAAACCGTTTTGGGGATTCTTTATTATAGTTATAGTATCATGCCCCAGCACCCCATTCTAATTATTAAGGCCCCTATAGAATCGGAATTGCAAAGGTCCTTCCATACTGCCGGACTCGTGGTGGCCTTTGGCAGATCAAGGCCTCTTTGAGTCGGTTTCGTCCTGGGGTTTGTTAGGAGGGTTTAGGGTTAAGTTGTCTTAGGCTTCAGGGTTTAGGATAGGAGGGTTGTTGGACCTCTATGAGGGTTTTCTAGTGTATTGTGTGGAGATAAAACGTTGTTTTCGCAGGGGGGTGGAATCTGAATACTCGGGGTATCGGGTTATGTAGAGCGGTCCCCAATCTGTTCCCCCCCCTCCACTCGGAGAAGATCAGAAGGACTCGGCAATGCGAGTTGTACGCTGAAGCGGTTTTTGGATATGCAAGTGCACAAGAAGTTAGTTTTGGCGTTAGGGTTTGGGGTTTAGGGTTTTGGGTTTAGGGTTTGGGATGCTGAGGCTTCCCCCACATTGGGGACCTTTGCTTCTCCCGCTCCTCCCCAAGTCACTGGGGGCTTGGTTGCCTTGTCTCCCCTGGCCCACTGGCCGGAAAGAAAGGGAGTGGGCAGCATTGAGGGTTGATAGCCTTTGCGGGGGCAGCAAATCGATGAAGTGAGATGTCAGGTTTCTTGTCTAGCCACAGCTCTTGTGCCACCCTTTATACTAACGCGAACACGCGTTCCTTTCGACGAAGCTTGTGCATCTGCACGCATTCAAGCGTCCGCAAATTTCCGTCACTGACACCCCGCTCACCACAACCTTCACCGCGACACTTCCTGACCCATGCTGTTGATCTTGTGGGTCGTCGCTACCACCAAGACTGGCTGCCATCATCCGGGTCAAATCATTATATTTGTACGTCTCCTCATCCTCATCTTAATCCTCATCATTATCATCCACGGCACCATCATCATCACCGTTGGAACAGAGGCACAACTCAATCTTAGTCGGGATCTTCCAAGGCACTGAACCACTTGGCGACCGTGCGCATGAAGCAGGCAGGCTGGCTTGGCTTGGATTTGTTTGGGCCACCATTAGAAGCCTAGTTTAAGATCTGGGATTTAGGGTTGATGCTACTTGGGTGGAAAGGGGGTGTCTTCTATTGTCTTCTGCTAAGGATTTTGAACCGTGCTGTTCAGGGTCTACCTTAGGAAGGTTGACCTATGAAGTCGACTAGTATCCCCAAATAAACACAGACCGGTATTCCAAAAGGGTCCTAGATTAGCCTTTATTGGCCCCCATTGACTCTGACCCAAATTCTAAAATAGACCAACTCCAAAACTAGCCGGGCCAAGCCATACTGCTGATGGACAAAATCCTGCATTACCCTTTGTAAGGAATATACCATAGTTCCTTGGGGTCATGCAGGATATTGTCCATCAGCAGTACGACTTCTCAAAGACATCCAAAGACATTCCTGGATCCCACGCCTTCAACACATGCAGCTGAACCCTAAGCGACGGAAGGATCTCGTGTCTGTCGACTTGCCGATATCCCTCAGTAGCTGAGTAGGTAACCCTACCATAGTTGAAAAGGCTAACTTGCCTTGGGCTAGGGTACTCAGCCCCCTAAGATCCAGCATTTTGCGACTGCTGTCCAGGCTGACAGGGTGGCCCTAAAGCACAGACGCACTCCTCCACGAAATCCGTTCCTGATCCAAGACCTGAGAAAAGTAGTGCTTGTAGCTAAAACCCGTTGGCCTTCACACGTTGCGACATGGGAGCATCAGAGCTGCTAACCACACTGGAGCCCGAGCTGCTTCGTGGAGTGCCCTTGCACGTCTGCTTGGGAGGGTGGGCTAAGCATTGGAAGCCGCCCGACCCTGGCATGTTCCGTGTCGATGCCGCAAACTACAAGCTGAGCCGACAAGCCGAGTCTTTCGACGATTTCCTCAGTCACGACTGGCAAACATCCCGCTGGACCAAGCTTTGCACTCTGCTCGTTGTCTACAACTCACGAGCAGCACTTGTTGCAGCTGTTCTAGCTTGCCCCTTGATCGCAGTAGCGCGGATTGAAGGGGCACTGCCAAACTATAGAGCGAGCTCGTGCTTGGTGTATGTTGTCCACTTGTTTGTCTTATGTTTCTGGCAGAGACTCCGAAGCACAGTGCTTCCACCAATCATGGTCTTTTTGGACAAGCTCTGCATCGCTCAAAGTCCTGAACAAGCTGAGCTGAAGAAGAAAGGCATTCTTGGAATAGCTGCCTTCCTCAACCATTCCAAGCGGCTGGTGGTTCTGTGGTCGCCGAGGTACTTTGGCGAAGTTTGCCGAAGGGTCCACGCACCCGCGCTTTAGGATAATTGGTGCCCTTCTAGTGTGTGTCAGTCAACTCTCCCGACATGTGTGCGTGTGCATCGACACTTCTGAGGTACTTCAGCAGAATCTAGGCTGCCTCCGAACACTACTTTGCTTTTGCTATCCGAAGCCTCTTAGGTGTTTTATGTTCAGGCCGTTTGGCCCTAAGCGCTATTAGCGTGTTAATCACATGCCTCATTCATGCAACTTTTAAGGAACTTACCCTAAACCCAGGCCCTAAGCCTTTAACCGCTAAACCCGAAACAGCAGCCCAGGACTATGGTGTGCATATGAGGTTGCCGCATTCTTGGCAAGTCACAACAAAGACAAGCACATATTGATTTTGCCGGTTCATGCAGGTATCACCATTCTCATTGCCTTCTTCTTTTTTGGCTGGGTGACGTCCTCTTTGCTCATCATTCTGCAAAAGCTTGGGCTCGGTAGTCTGGGTGTTCAGTTTGGCCAGGATCCATGGAAGACAGTCGTAGGAGGGGCCCTGGCTTGGGTACTTGGGCCTGCAATTCTCTTCGGTGTGCCCTTTGCCACCCTCGGCGTGCGCATGGCGAAGCACTTGCACCGGGTGCCGGAGCAGCTCAAGACGTTTGATGTCCAAAGAGCTGCGAGTTTCTGTTGTGAAAACGGCCATAAGCATCCGGACACAGGATCCCACGCGGCATACAGAAGAGGGATGATTTGAGAGTTTCTGAAAACAGGGGACCCTAAAATAGCACCTTAAATAGTAGGATCCTTGTTATAAGAACCCCAAAATGAGGTACTCTCCTATTGTCGGAAACTCCAATTTAACAATGTCCAATCAGCTTTTTGGGGAGGCATTGGCTCTCTCGCAGCAAGCTAGGTAGTAGTATGGAGACCCCTGAAAGGGGACCCTTCTTAACCAAGTCTTAACTCTACTTATGGAGCTCTTACAAAGGGACCTTATTGAGAGGGTCTATATATCTTCAAGGGTCCCCCTACTCCTAACTCCTAGGCAATTCTCCGAAGATCTACATCCTACACCCCCCTGAACCCTAAACTCTAAACCCTAAACTCCTACACCAACAGCCGCTAACCCGAAGACGTCCTGTAGACTGTACAGAGGCTCGGGACCTGTTTCAAGGCTATTTTGGGGGGCTCCCTACTAGAATTCTAGCATAGTGGACCCCAAAACCCTATTCTAGTTATGAAGGCCCCGATAGTAGAACTCCTGCATTGTTGTGTAGAGCTGCTGGAGGGCTCATGGAATTTCTGTTGTGGGCTCTTCTTGACAAACGTCCGGGTCCAAGCAGGATCAGACATCCCATGTGACCGTGAGCTGGTCTACCGCAAGCTTGAAGACTGGTATGGCTTCCCCACGGACATAGGCGACGAGCATTTGCGGCGATTCAACTCCCTCGTTCATCACAGGCAATCTGCACGGTAGTAGGGATGAGCTACATGCAGGACTCGAACCCCGTTCATAGCCTGCCAGCCCTTATTCCTTTGAGCCTACCTGTGATACAGTATCAGGTTGGGATGCTCCGTGCTGAGACAAATGCCGCACGCCGTCCCCACAGCGCCTCTCATCAAAATGCTGAGTGCTGCCACGTTGCCATGGTTCGCGGACGCGATCGAGAGGATACTTTGGCGCATACTCAGACAGGATGGACGTGATCTTCTAGAATTCTCTTGGCGTTTTGTCGTCCTCGAATGGGCCTTTGTGGTGGCCTTTGTGCTCGTCACAGGGCTCTCGGCAGTGACGTTGTCAACTGTTTTGGCCCGTAGGTTTCCAAAAGTCCGGGACCTTTGCCTTGCGCTGCTGCTTCTCACCGTGTGTGCCATACCGGCAGCCGTGGTCATGGTTACATTTTTTGTTTTTCTGTTCTTCGGAGGCGATGCTTGGCCTGCAATCGTAGTTTTCCTTGCGGCGCTTCTCCTGGCAGCATGCTTTCTGCGGCTTACCTTGACGAATCAACGAATGACAGCTGCAAGTGAAGAGCTGAAAGACATATCTGATGTGGCATCTACGGCGAATGCCGTTCAGTTGAGTGCAGAGTTTTTTCCGGCACCGGAAGTCGACAATGGGTTCATCCCCCGTGTGCCATCCGACTTCTCTATCTGATCAGGTGGTTTTAGCAGTTAGCCAGGGATACTTTCGGGGCCTTAATTAGGAATTACCAACTCTATTTGGGGGGTTCCTTATTATATTACTATAGCATAATGGGCCCCAAAACCCTATTCTAATTATCAGGACCCCTACATAACCTGGCATCCCTAGGATCGCATGTGCTGCGAACCTGTCAGCAGTGACGAACATGTGGATCCCCGTTTTGTCAGCTCAAGATCCCAAGTTGTCTTGCATCTCATCGTGGTGAGCCTTCCCGTCCTTATACCAACTTACTGAACAACCTGACAATATGTACCCAATGAGTCTTGGGCACCATGCAACGCATGAAACTCTAGCTGGAACAGCTTCGACGTTGGGAAGGATGCTTGCTAGCACCCGTGTCGGTCAGATAGTGCCGCTTCTTGCAGAAGCGATTAGGAGAGCAAAGGATTCTGTAAGTCTCCTCGCTTGCGGTTTACTCTAACACCACAGCCAGAAGTGTTCGGCAAGCATTCGTCGAGTTGTTCGACATCTTTGCAAGGCCATGACTCCACAGTCGGCTTCCGTCGTTTTACCATACTTGGATGGTCGGGGGACTTAGTAAGTAGGTTATAAATAGACTTATAAGTGCCTTAAAAGGGACCCTAATTGGGGTGATGGTACTTATAAGTCTCTAAAATAACTACTTACTAAGTCCCCCGACCCTCCAAGTAGGGCCCCTGCTGTAGGCACCTGCCACGAGTCAAGCGTAGGCTACATGCATCCAGAGCAATGAGAATGGTATAGTCGCTTAGTGTTTTCCTTACACCCTGCACTTTAAACCCCTAAACCCTGTGTCTTGCTTCGGGGTGCAGCAGCACTGTTTAGGGGGTCAGTGTGGGCGCCAGGATCTACAGCGTGCCTTGTTGCTACATTGGCGGTTCGAATAAATACGTGGGCTTAGGGTTGAGGCTTTAGGGTTTAGTGTTTAGGGGTAAACACGGGTAATACTACCCTCTTACAGACCCTACATATGATAATTTTATGACATGTTTATACTATAGTAGATGATGGATCCCAGAATTTGTGCAAGCAGTTTTGTCGTTGCATCGCGGTGCTGCAGCAGGGCATTTGCAGTGAGTTGTATTGACACCGTTTCCGCCCTGCTTGAAGCATGTGAGCGTGAACATGTGCAGACATGCCGACTCGGACGTCTCAGCCTTGGTGCTACACAAACCTCGCCGCTCTCAATTGGGTGTTTATAAGGAGGTTTCGGATTCTTGGGCTGTAGTGCCAGGCTGTTAGGTTTTGTATCACCACGCTTCCTTCGCAAAGGTCCGAAATTGCATCCCTACGGCCCTGTTCGAATAACTTAAGTGGCATTCGAGTTCGCAAATCCACACAATTAAGCGCCCACTCACATAACATGGACGAGCGCCCCTTTCAGACATTTTCTTCTGCCACCGCGGTGTCTTGTCTTGCCAGTTATCAAGACTACGCACAGAACGACAAGTTTCGACGTAAAGGCTTTGTACGGAGATCTCTCTGCCTGGACAAAGTCGAAGTGCTCGATTGCATAGGTTTCCACCCAATCGGAGCGAGAACGCACTTCGTTGCCAGGTGCCAAACGTTGAATCTACC